TGTGTGTGTGTGTGTGTGTGTGTGTGTGTGTGTGTGGGTGTGTGTGTAACAGACTCACCTGACATGTGTCGACTCCTCCCTGCAGTTTCCCGGCACAGATCATGGTCTGACTCACTTGTCCATCTAACACCTCAGGAGAGTTACAGGTCTCTCTGCTGTAAATGGTGATCTGGGCCTGGTTTAGATTGTCAGGGGATGATCCTGAGAAAAATTAATGATTGAACACCCACAGTTAGATGATAAGCCGAGCATTCTGAAGCGCTGTTGCCTTACTTAAAAAACAGGAGACTCATGAAGCATTTGAAACTAAGCTCACCAGACGAGCGCAATGCTCCCCATCCTGTGATCCAGGCTTGACTTCCAGGAGAGGCGTTCACTCCAAAGTTGGGGAGACACACTGGCTTCACTGTTCCTGAGATAAATAACCAAGTACTTAAGAGTTGTCATTATCAGTCATTATACCATGTAATGAAATATGATTTTGACTGGCCAGCACTTACTTGTAAAAGTCAGAGGTGTATCAAGCTTTAGCAGAGCAATGTCATTGTCATTCGTTTCTGCGTTGTAATTTTCATGATTAATGATTTTAACAACAGTTTCGCCAAATCTCATTTTACGGAGGCTCACGTCACCAGAGTAAACCCTCCAGGAGTAAGGATTGGAGTACCTGTTATGGGAAACAGAATGATGTGAAATATGGATCAGCTTCCTGAATATCTACCTAAAGTACATTCAAAATCAATGGGATCATTATTGGTGTGAAGCGTAGATGCTCACTCTTGGAAGCAGTGTGCAGCAGACACGATCCAGTGCGGGCTGATGATGGAGCCTCCACAGACGTGTTGACCCGTAATCTGGAGACTGACCTGCCACGGCCACGCTCCATTCACAGCCTCCGTACCACCTACGATACGAGTACTGGGGGCTGCTGAGCTCTCTCCACATTCTGAAGACGAAGGTAATAAAACACTTATATGTGACTCATATATTTCATGGGTCCAAGACAAAATAAAATGAATTCAGGTAAAAGTAGAATGGCACTAAGAGCACATACCTCTGCCCAACAGTCCCCTTAAATTCAATCAAGCTTCACCAAATTTCACAGATATCAGAAATCAGTGCCCTAAGTATGTTTGATTATTTTCATTCAGAACCATGAAAAGCCTATAACGCAATGTTAAGGTCCAGTGTGTAAGATTTAGGTGAAAGGGAACTAATGGCAGAAATTTAATGTTGAATAATTCTCATAATGTTTTCACTAGTTTATTTCATCTAAATTGCATGAATTGTAGTTTCCTTACCCCAGAAAAGGCCCTTTAAATTTAAATACTTCGAGGGGACCCTCTCTACAGAGGCCACTATGTTTTTTACATTAGTCCAGACTGAACAAACTAAACATCTTTTGAGTTTTTATGACAATTAAAGGCTACCACAGTTTCTTTTTCATGCTTGAGAGGAGAGGGTGAGGTGAGTAGTGTTCAGCTGCAACATGCAACTTCAACACTAGATCTCACAAAATTCTACACACTGTACCTTTAACGACAGGGCAAAAAAAAATGGATCTTGCTCCAGATCCGCACCAAAATTGAATGAGTTCTCCCCTGACCCATACCACATCCTTTGTGTGTATTCTTGTTCATAAACGAACAAAGAAAGGGACAGGGTTCGAAAACACATCCTCCTCAGCGGAGGTAAATAAAGTTCTGTTCTGTTTGGTGCCCTTATCCACAGGAGGTCCCAGTGTCTGTCGGGCTAAATCGATCCGTCTGAACAGCTTCGCACATAATCACATAATCCCATGCACATTTCAGCACTGCAGTTACTGTATGTCCCAGTTAAAAAAGAATAACTTACTTATACAATGGAGTTTGATAGCTCTGGATGAGCAACTTTGGCTGGAAAGAAAAACAAAACAGAAACTGATGTTTGAGACTAAAAAAATCCAGAAACAAAATATTCAGCATTTATATAAGAGTTCCACATTAGACAGAAAAGTAACAATGACTCAGCACATTTTGGAAATTGATCTCATCAACGCTGGGTGTAAAAATACCTGTAAGTGAGCTGTGACTGTATAGCAGATGTATGGGTACTCTCAGGCTTCAGCTTCATGTATCCTTTGGAGGCCAAAGAACCTGCATTGATTTGGCTTGACATCACATAATCCTGCCTGTGGGAGGACACATTAGCCAGTCATGTCATCCAGTGTTAAACGATATGATGGAGGTCCCTCCTTGGTTACAAGTGTGAAGATTGTGTTGACAAATTTGTATTGAACGAGAAATATATATTGCTCCTCTCTTGAATCAAGTCTTCAAGCTAAATGTGAAATGTCTCCTTACATTGCTGCAAACAACTGTTGTTGTGTTTAGCACCACGTGACAATCTCAGTGTTGTTTCAGAAGCTTTTCCTGTCTGACAAGAATTCATTATTAAAACAGAATTATTATTATCTACTAATTCCACAAACCTAGGTCTGTCTGTCTGTCTCTCTAACTGGTTGTATACGGAATATATCTCAAGAACTGTTCATCTTCACACTTGATATGTGTATTCTTAATGGCCCAGGGAGGTGCTGTTTCACATTTGGTGCTATTTGGACTATTTCATAAATAAAACATGAATAAACAGGCAAACAGCTCCTGTCAGTCAGTGAAGCAGGGCAGTGTGTCTTCAATCTGCAGATATGATAAACAAGAGCATTGCTCGGCTGCAGGAAAGAATTTTGATATTTTGATCAATTGTCATTCAGGGGTGCTGCTAGAATCACTTCCTATTCAGCAATTTGCCAACAAAATAAAAGCACAACGTTTGATTTGTTGCTATAATGCTCTATATCGAGCTGAAATATAAACTCTTTGAGAAAACCCTAGGTGATGTAGCCTAGGGTGGATTTTTATACAGCGGCGAGGAGAACAGTCAGCACCTCAGGTAGCCCATCTGCTCACACACAGTCCTCCCAAAGTTGTTGTTCCACTCGTCAGCGCACACAGGCATCCACATCTGGTAGGCTGATGAGTAACTCTCCAGCATGAAGTTGGTCCCATGAAGACGAACTGTGGCGCAGAGAAAACCAGGCTGCTCACCCATGTAGTACTAAGACGGTATGTGCTTTGTGAGGTGCAGATCTTACAGCACTGAGATTCATCCTCTCCGTGTGGACAGTCCGTGACACCGTCACACCACTGCGATGAGCTCAGACACGTCCCACCGCTTCTGCAGGACTTCCCCAGCAAACACTGGTAGTATACTGCACGCACACACACACATGCACAGTATAAGGCACTGACACAACAGCACACAGGGATGTCCGGAGGTGATCGCTTCACATAAAGATCTGCAGCTGAACTCACAGAAGTACCAGAGCAAGATGCCGACCACTGCCATGATGAGAGCCACACACAGACACACGCACAGGATATGTTTCCAGTGACATCTCTTTGTCCCTGTGAAGACGGACACAAAATCAAATCACTGACATGGCTGATATACTGGTCACTGCACGGCCTGCAAGATGTGCAGAGTATAACCTGACAGGTTCAGAGGACTCTGCACTGCAGATATGACAAAGATAAACCTAAACACACTGTAGGGTTAAACTACTTTAGAAAAGTCTAAGGTTACAGAACTAAGAGTTAAGTTTCTTTCCTGCCGCATTATATTCACAGTAATTTGATCATATGTACTCACATTATAATTCATATTATGATGAAGAATTTAAATAAATCATGTAAAGTATCCATTTACATAATGCTTGTGCTGTAAAGTCACATTTTTTTCCATCACACCATACACTGTCCGCAGGGGGGACTTTGGGGCTCAATATCTTGCACAAGGACACTTCAGAAATTCAAACAATTAAGGATCAAACCTTTAACCTTCTGGTAATTGGAAGACTCTCTCTACATCCAGTGACATCTGGGAGGAGAGTTTATCATTTTGACTCAGTCAGGCGACACAAGGAAACTTGTCATATCCTGTTTTTAATGTCCAAGAAATGTTTTTCTGCTTCATGACTGCAACATATATCACTGTTACAGTAAATTATTTTGACGCACTGTGGAGGTGGGTGTTAAATGTTTATTTTCCGAGTCAAGTTGAGGGTACTTGAGGTTATTTAACGTACTTTCCATTTACTTCCCTGTTTGCCGTCCATTTGTTCAAACAAGCCTCTTTGTGAGCTAAATGCCTGGTAACAATGGTCTCTGTGGGCACAGGTGATAAACATGTCAACTGGAAATGACCGCAACAGATGTAGAGTGTCACAACTTAACTGGACTCGTCATACAGAGTGTTATATTTCAAAGGTTTTTTTACATCAGGTATTTTTATGCTTAGTAATATGAGACCAAGTAAGACTTTGCATGGAGTGAGTGTTTTCTAGCTTACAAATTAAATGTGCCGTTTTAAAATATTTCCATACTTGCTTTGAGTAAATGAAACTGTCAAAGTCAAGATGACTAAATGATTCAGTGAAGCTGCAGTATTTGTTTCTGTTCTTATAAGTGTGTGTTTTTATCTTGTGACTGACATGAAGTCATTCTTAACATATCTTCTTCTTTTTCCACCTCGTAAGGTCTCAAGATAACTCAATACTCAGATATTACTGTACCTTTGCTGTGTCCTGTGTTATGAGGCATTCCATGTGTGACGGTGTGGTGGGTGTTGATGGTGGGTCTGGGAGTCGTGGCGACATAGGTGGGGGTCTCTTGCTGGAGGGCAGGGTACATAGCATTTTGTGGGCTGTATGGAGGGGGTCTTCTTTCATCATGCTGGAACCCTCTGTTTTCATAGACGGGAGCTGTTCCCTACATGTATGGAGAAAAGAACAATGACAGAAGGAGAATTTAAAAAATCATGATGTTAGAATGTGTGGTGGGAAAACAGAGAGATCATAGAAAGAGTTTACTGTTGATAAAAAGTGAAAAGACATTTAGAAATGTTGCTTTTACCTGTGAAACTGAACGTACCTGATTATCATTCATACTGAAACTGGTCACACTGCCTCTCGGCTGGGATACTGTCACGCCTGGAAAACATGATACAGGTTTTTTAAGTTAAAAATTAAGAAAGTATTGCTCACAGAGCTAGCTCGTGATGCACCGGATGACCTAATGATAGTGTTCATTGAAGCAATGATGATGACTTAGGGTCTAGATAAAAAACAACACAACATTGATTAAAATATATAGAAAACTATATAAAAGTCTCCAAAGTAGGGATTAGTAATGCTAAACCTAATATTTCATAAAACCAAGATGATTTTATTTTTAGAGATTGAGCTGANTAAGGTGACCTCATTGTGCTGGTGGTTTGTTATCTGCTCCAACATGAGGACGTGACCTCAATTCATCTCTTTATTTATGATATTTGTATCTTTGTGGGAAATCTGATGTGTTTACAGTGTCACCAGGACATCAGACAGTGAAATAGCGATCAGGTGAACGTGCGTACAGAGCTGCTGTTGAGCAGTGAATCACCTCTGGACTGCAGAGTTATATTTGCCCCATCATAAGGAAGCTGAAAGGTTTAGTGCGTTTCTACATCTGACACTGGTTCACTTATGTGTCACAAAGGAAAAAATTCCACCTGATCAATGTTTATTTATTTGTGACATTCTCTGAAACTGCTGACACATATCACCACACAAAATATGTCACGGGGTGACAGGGGTTTTCCTTTATCAAGTTTCTCAGCAGCCCTTAAAAGTTCCCATTAGAGCACATGACACACATCCCACATTTTAAACAACAAAAGAAAACCTAGAACCTTTAACCTTAGCATTTTTTCAATACTTGAACCTAAACACATATTCACACAGTGTAAAATTAAAGTGATCCTGTGTGTCCACAGCTTAGTAGAATTTCAGGTGACAAGTGGTAACATAAAAGCTACATAAATACATTGCTGCATGTCCGAAACACTCTTATCACCCAAAACATTTCTTTCATTTCTAAATACAACACTAAAAAAAAGCTCACACTACCAGAGCGGGTTGACTTACTACTTACCTTGAGATTCCTTCAGCGCTCTGACTCTATCTGTACCTCCACTCCCTGTTTCCCTCTCTGTCTCATGTCCGTTCCAGTCCTCCCAGTAATCAACAGGTGGGACCACACCTTTTCCTTTGCTGTGTGCACAAGCCAGCCCTTACACTTCACAATGACACGGGCAAACAGGAGGTACTGAGGAGGGTCAGCACTGATAATCATTAATGTCGGTCTTGAGAAGATAAGGGGATTGAATTATTGATCACAGGGCTGTGTTTGTCCTTATACAGAAATATCAAATCAAAGGAATGAGGAAAAGCTAATATAGAAGCCCTGTTCAGCAGGGTGATGTACGTCTACAGTGATTTACATGCATGATACTCTTGTGTATCTAAGTTGGTATGTTTAGCTTGTAAGTTTGCATACCAGTGACTTTCCCTAGCAAATCACCAAGCTCTGTCTTATTGATTTCATTGGGCAGCTTGTGCAGTGTTTTAAAACGTAAAAAATCTCTGTCTTCTTCTTTAAATTGTCGACATTCAAGGCCAAGCACACACTGATTACTGCTCACTGCAAAACAACAAAATCTGCTCTTCCTACCTGAAACCGTACACATCAAGAGAAACCTATGAAGAAGCGTCTGTTTCTTAAAAAATTGGAACTAGGTCACATGTTTTCCAGTTACCAATGTGCTAATTAAACTGGGGCAAGCGGTCACTGCTTCCTCAAGATAATGTAGATATATTATTCAGATATAAAGCTGTAAAAGATTAGATTCTTACGTTTTCCATGCTATCGTCCATCCTCCTAAAGAGAAGCTCACCCTCCTGTGTTTAATCAGTAACATCCAAACAAATGGCCAACAAATGCTGATGGCCAAATGACTTTCAGACTCTGTTAATACTTAACTCGGTTTCCCTGTGTTAACTGGCAGGAACAGTTAGAAAAGAAAGACCATTCATCAAGTAATAGAATGTGATGCACATAACAAGAACAGTCCCTATTTAAGGATGCAGCACATTACTACAGTATAAAAATATAAAAGATGGTAAATGATAACCACATAGCCTTTCCCTATGCGTCAGCATGTTATAAAAGAAATAGGTCACAGACATTAAAATAGGACGACTTCCAATCAAAGGCAACATGAACATAAAAAGAGTCTTGGGACTGATAACCTGGAAGACAAACAGGAACTGAACCATGGTTGCTTTGTAAATAAGTAAAACGCAATGCTTTTCTCTTCCCACATCGAATGACCAGCACCCAACTTTCTCATTTAGTTAAATAAAAATAGAAAGGTGTATACTTCTGCCAAGGCCAAGCACTGTCTTCTACAGGAACTGACTATCATCCCTTAATTTGCACCAAATTGTACAAACTCCTTGATCTCACCATAGATTTTTTACATCAAGATTAATACATTATTTCCTTCCAAACCTTGATGGCTTCTTCCCCAACTCATCTCCAAGTCCTTCATCTCGTTTGGTGCATAAAGCTGCTGACAAAGACCCAAACAAAATAAACAAACGCTGGACGAAACTTAACTTCCTTGTCAGATAGACAACGTGATATAAATTCATCCCTGGGTGTAAAGCTAAAGGATGAGTGGCAGTTTAAAACAGGACGGTGAAGATGGTGAACAACTCTAAGGTCTTCTGCACTAGTTTGATTGGAAGTTTCCAACCACCAGATGTCATGAATGGCCAGCAGATATAAGGGACATGCCATCAGTTGTGTAACTTAGTGTCATGGAGTGTTTTAGCCTTTTAATCACAACACCACGTTATTGTTCCACCTCAGATGGCCTGTCTGCATACCACAGCATCCGTCCAGGGAACTGTCAATTCTACAAAGCAGACAGTGACACGCAGGCTGTTGGACCACAGTATCAGGTTACGCTAGCATACATCTGCCAACATTTCCCAGTCTCTGGCTTGTTCCAGCTGACCACTGTAATCAGTGCAACAGGCCCTTATTCAAGTTGATGTTCCTCATAGAGTAGCAATGTGGCAGTGTCAAGCACTGTTTTTGCTTTGGTGTAAGGTTAGTTTAAGGTCAAGAAAAATGTTCTGTATGGGACAGAAATTAACATTATATATGTATGTATGTATAATATATATGGATTCTAATTAGTATAATAGACTGTAGGTGTGTAATTTAATACCTGCAATAATATAAATGTATTATTGCAGGTATTACACTTATCTCAAGGAAAATGGCCACATCTTGTGGCCAAATTGAACATTACAGTTACTTTACTGTATTTAAAATTCTAGATTAAGCATTACAAAATTAAACCACAACAATGAAGCTGGCTGTCAAATTTGAATAGTTAATGGTCAAACCTGTCTATCAACGTCATAGTGAGTCAATAAGGATCCATAACACAAAAGTGGTGAGAGAGAGGTCTTTGGATCCCAGTGAAGAAGGTCCGGAACCCCAGTTATCTCGGCCCTCTCGTCTCTTCACTGTTGGAGGTAGAGGCAGGAAATTCTCTCTCCCGGGTGATCAATCGCCAAAGACTTCTTGGGTCCAGACGATCTTTCGAGGGATCCTGTTCCAAGTTTATTGGTGGAAATTTAAATCGTCCGTCTGCACGTACGCCAGGCAGTTCCTCTTATGCAAGCACAGTTGTGTTTCTATATGAGTTATTGTTGAACACAGCACACGAGCATTGATCAGACATAGAAAAGAGTTCAAGCTCAGGTCATATGCAACTTTTCCATTTCAGTGGTTTCACAAAAACTAAAGTATTTATTCATCCATTTCAAGACAGAGTTAAATATTAATCCATTTTTTTCACGGGTCGTTTTGACAAACAAGGGAGTGTTTAATGCTGGAGTCATGATGTCATGTTTGACTAAGGCCACAGTTGTAACAGATGCTTTCTTTACAGAAAAAAGGGAGTTTACAGGTGTCTTAACTTTTGGAATCAAAAGGTTATCCACATGTACTTCATCGAGTGTATCAGGGAGAGAAAAGTTTCGAGTTTCCTACAACTTCTGGATGAGAATAGATGAAGCTCCACCGCCTCCGTTGCAGATGCCTGCCAGCCCGTACTGACCTGATTTCAGATTGTGCGCCATGTGGCCCACAATTCTCGCCCCAGACATCCTGACAAACGGAAAGACAAATAAAGCATTGGTAATAATCCACAACATGTTTTGCTTTGCTTTTACACCCCAGCTGATGACCTGATGTTGTGTTTAACTTCTACCTTGTTACTGGAGATCAATTGGTTTTGCAGCAAGAAATGGAAAATAACAAACATGACATAACAGAGAAGGGGGGGGGGGGGGTAGGCACAGAATGTCAGATTTGGGAGAACAATAATGTTCCCAGGTTGACCCTAAAATTGCTGAATAAATACAATATTAATGAATAAATACAAAGGAAACTAGACTAATAACTACTATTCAATGTGCTAGAATGCCATCTCCCTGAGTTCAGAAGTGAAATGGCAGTTGGAATGAATGTGTATGAATCTGTTGCTTTTTATAGGGGGCAATCTGAGCCAGGAGCCAGAGGGTACACACTGGAACAGGTTAGCTTGCTGGACCCCCAAGAGTTTACAGCAGATTTATGCTCACAGACTGTTCTTTAAAAAGGGTCTCTTCTAAAGGGCTGTTGTTGTATTTTCTAAAGGGCCTTTTTATTATAATGTATTCTTCTTCTAGCCATGGATTGTATTATTTTTCCTGTGAAGCACTTTGTAACTTTGTTTAGATAAGAGCTGTACAAATACAGTTATTAATTAATTAATTAATTAAAGTGCAAAATAAAGAATTTAGAAAAGACAAACAGTAATTTTGAAACATTGTGATTGTAACAGATATGAATGGTATGATTAGGGTCACAGATAAATAGTGCTTGTACTGCTGAGTGATAAGTAAACATCCATAAAAAGATGACATGCACCTGCAAAAATAAAAAACTTATTGAGTTCCATTTTGCCGCTGTGACATTAAATCAGGCGTTATTCCCCCAGTTTTAAAACCCTCACATGAAATAGTTTAATGTAGGAAGCTACTGTTTCCAATTTTGGGTGTTTTCCAAATTTTGCAGAAACAGCAACTCCTTTTCTTTTTTGTCCTTTGGTTTGCACCCAGGACATGTGCCAACAAGCATTTGGTAACTGCTGTATGTCGATATCATAGAATGCTGTGAAAAATCCAATAGGATGAAATAATGCAATTGAGACATAAACATATCAACATAATGTGAGTGATGTCAGAATACTTGTCTTAATTTAATGATTGTTTTTTCAGAGTATGATCTTCAGGTTAAGGAAGTAATAAAATACTGTTTACATGGCAATTAGTAAGACTAAAAATAGTCTGGTTAATAAAGTAACAATTCCTGTCCATGTAAACATAGTCAGCGTCTTGTAAATGATTTGAAGTCCATGTTATCGGCCAACTTTTAATATAGGCTTTAAATTCTGAATATATACTCAGGTAGTTTGATTATCTGAAATGCCTCATCGATTACAGTTGATTCATTTGTGTCAACCTGTGGAACAGATTCAAAAGTAACCAGACAAAAATGGATGTCTAGATCACAGAGCAAAGGAAGAAGGATGAAACAGGAAGAGAAAAAAACAGGACACACGTTGTTCCTCATGTTGACTCAGTAACTGGTGGAAAAGCTAATGTTTAAAAGCTTGTACAATTGTGCTTTTCTCTTAATTCCAGGTCACATCCTTGATTTACAAAAACGAAAAAAAGCCATACTATATCAGTCTCAGCTCCTTACCCAATTGGATGTCCCAGGGACACAGCTCCACCGTTGACGTTGACTTTTTCTGGGTCAATGTCCAACATCTTGATGTTGGCCAGGACGACCACACTGAAAGCCTCATTGATCTCCCACATGGCGATATCGTCCTTCTTCAACCCTGCAGCATCCAGCACCTGACACAAATTCCCACATGGAACTGTTAAGATGTTTTAATGTATCTGCCTCCAAGGACAGATATAAGGACAGGGCAAATGGACTCTTTACGTTTTTATCATTTTAGTCAAATAACTCACGGCTTTGGACTTACACCATACAAAAATATACAACACTGTATGACAGGGAAGTGCACTTGCAACATCACAGTTCTGCCACAAGCTCCAGATTTCCAAATTTAAAAGTACTATGGACAGAAACCAGAGGTCATCTCACAATGCACCAGACCAAATCCTTGGACTCACCTTAGGTACAGCATAGGCAGGAGCAATGGGGAAATCAATGGGTGCAACCGCGGCATCAGCAAAAGCTATGTGGAAAAAACATCAACATATTCTGTTACTTCACAATGATCTAAAACTGTGATAACCTGAGAATAATAATACAGACAATCATCCAAGTGTATTTTCATTGAATTTTCAAACTACAAAACCTTTAACTTACTAACTAACTTTTACTTACTTGTACCTTCTTGTGGTTTTATGCCTCCACTAACCAGTAAAACTGCAGTTTACATACATGTATGTAAATATGTAGTGAAGACTGAAGATTGGCATGATTAGAATATAAATTTGCTTTGCACAGAGTTATAGACAATAACGTGTGTTATGATTTCACAGTGACTTCAACTTCTTACCAACAATATATAATCAGTTCCTGAGTCCAAGTGAATGTTTGTGGAACATTTGAAGAGTCCCCCTAGTAGTCTAGAGATATCATGTTCAAGATGCCAAGACAAGTAGTTTGTGAAATCTACAATATGTTCCAGCCTGAGTTTCAGTTAAACTCTATGTGTGTGTCTCTGTGTGTAAAACTTACAGACCACCCTTGCCAGTGGAGTGACATTGAGTCTCTTTGCAGCGTCTGCTGTCATTAAAACA